TCTCAGATTTGTTCATTTTGTGATGATATTTTCAATTCTCTTATTTTGGTGAATATTTTTGTAATTTTTGGTAAAAAGTGATATTTTCGACTTCTTGTTAAAAACCAATAGTTCAATTGCTTTGATATTACATATATAGATACTACATGTAGACCTTTCTCAGATTTGTTTATTTTGTGATGATATCTTCAGTTCTCTAATTTTGGTGAATATTTTTGGTAAAAAGTGATATTTTCGACTTCTTGTTAAAAACTGTAAGTCCGATTGCTTTGATACTATTCATATTGTTCATTTTCTAATGATGTCTTCAGTTCATTTTCAGCTCTGTTTTTATGAACGTACATCTAGTATAAAACAAGGAATTGTTGGAGTTGTTTCATAAAATATTTGCGAAAATATAATCCCGCTACACACCCCTTTTAAATATACTCGTAGCTCTGAGCATGGAACTATAAACCACTGAGTTATACATGTATCACAGTCCCCCTATGACTGTGGTAACATTTTTATATCACCATCACGACCACACACAGTCACCCTTAATCAGTGTCATTGCACTAGTTTACGTGTGACCCGTGGTCCATTTAGTCTAATGGTCCGACCAGCACCCGTCGAAGAGTCGCAACTTTCTTGTGGTGACTAACACACGGTCTCAACTTCAATGAGTGTTGAGTGGCAGTCCATGTACATCACGAATATAGTGCCAGGCGACGGAAACGTACAGACAATGGTTATAAATGTGTCATTCACTCCGACTATACATTTTAGTGTAGTCGTGCAAAGACCACACGGAATGCGGCCTTAGAATTTGGTCTATGTACGAAGGTAACCTCTCTCTATCCTCAAACTCTGTTGGTGTAATTATTTCTTATCAACCAACAACAATAAACATCGTGTTGTGTTAACAAATAAAAATAAACATCGGTACGCATGCGCAAGTATTACCTTTATGGCAAAAAAAAATAAACCTCCCGTTTCAATATGCTGGTATTTAATAGTATAGCGGGCCCAATGTAACAGCCGTAACCAGGGTCGACATTTCTCTATTCCAGTCATGTTAACATTGGATATGGCGAACGTGACATGAATTGGTAATGTTACAGACATAGGTTAATTTAAAATTTAATCCAATTTTTATTTCTGTGTTTTTCCAGGGTTGAATTTACAAGAGGATGTTGCCGGGGCAACTTTCATGGCCTTTGGAAGCTCAGCGCCTGAATTTCTGACAACGCTCATCAGTAAGTCTCGCGTGATTAGTCACGTGGTACTCATATTATCACGAGAGCGGGCAGTGAGAAATATGATCTGCATTTTAGTGTGTTAGAACGTTGGCATCAACAATTCCAGTCATGTGATACGGTAGAATGTGCCAGTCCACTGTGTTCTGACTTGAAAATAGTCGGATGGATGATGATTTACGATATTGACATAAAAACGAAAGTATACCCACCCTGTATTGAGTCATCTCGCATTTTGCAATCTTTTGGATGGGCACATTCTGGAGATTTTGATTTGATTATGGAGCGGAAAACTAGTTCCATGGTCTCATGTAGGTAGATGAACTTGATACAAGCAATGTCTAGGTTAAGGATTTATTGTTGGTCAGTTTTGTTTGGAAGGTTTCATTACAAAATGAACACAAACGTCATTAATGGCATTGACTATCTAATATTTACCGCTTGAAAATGATTAATAATATAAATAATAATATAAATATAAATATAATAATAACAATAATTTCTAACTGTATTTCCAGGTCATGTCTGATACCATTGTTTAGCTAATATCATTTTCCAGCATGTTTTGGTTGGAAGTTAGTCTTTATGGCTTCAATGCCAGGGCGTCCGATAGTATTATGGGATACTGAAATGAAAAGTACGGCAGCACAAGTAAAAAGAAAATTGAAACTTCTGTGGTGGGTTTTAAAGCGATAGTTGACGACAACAAACGTCGTAGTGGCCGAAAGAGGTGTTCAGACGTCCGACGTCGCCGAGTTTCCTTTCCTTTTTTAGTAACCGTGCCCTATCCGAAATCAAATTGAAGCGATTGTTTGTGCACACTGTTCCAGCTATCTGGTTGGGGAAACTACAGGACAATTTAAGACATAATTTCGACAATGCAAACTGCGTCTTCTTCGAGATTTGCTACGTAAATACAGAAAAAAACATAGAGAAGAAACGGCACATTGAGTTTCACTATGCTAGACAATTCTGACATAAGTGTGCTTTAGTCCATCATAGATAATGATAATGATGTTGTAAAGCTGAACCCAATTTTAATCTTTTTTATTCAGCAAACAAACCAATTTTGGGCCGGCCTTAGGCAAGCTAAATGTGAAACAGGATATACTCCCTGTCCAGTTTTGAGTTATCGTGTCAATTATGGAACATTAAAGATGTGCATATTATTATAATTGAATGGGTGGGTAGTATTATCAGCATGGTAAAAATGTTGTGTTACTCAAAATGGCATCGAGGTATGTTTAGTCGAAGCTAAATGTGAACCAGGATATACTCCCTATCCAGTTTTGAGTTATCATGTCAATTATAGAAAATTAAAGATGTGCATATTATTATAATTGAATGGGTGGGTAGTATTATGAGCATGGTAAAAATGTTGTATTACTCCAAATGGCATCGAGGTATGTTCAGTCGAAGCATGGATGTATAAACATGGTCGACGCAGGGATGAACTAACGTCCATGGTCGAAGTGACACCTTGTTGAAATAAGATCACGCTCATATCGCACGCAATCGTATAATCCTTATATAAGCTATTTGTACATTTTTAATCGAATAACAAAACATACACATCACGTGTGTCAATGCCTTTGGGGGCAAAACAACAACTGGACACTAACAGCTTGAATAATCACAGTCCCTCTGGACTGTGGAATAATATAGTCTTCGTTTACATTACATCAGTGATAAGACAAGAAAGTTGCCCCACCATGGTTACTCAGTAAACGATGGACTTAGTGTTTTTAGCTGATGCTGAAAGTTTAATAATTTTATTAAACTCGTAATATTAAAATTATGAACAGTATATTGACCCCAGTCTATGTTTTTTGTTGTTGCTGAAACAATTGTTCGATATACATATATCCGAATTATTCGTTAGTTTTAGCTCATGAATATTCATGTGCATGTAGATTAGTCAAAGTGTAATCTCTGTTTCACGGACAGATTTATTTATTTATCAATTCTCAAACAGATACAAAACTTAATTACAGAACAGTCACTCTATAGACAGGACAAGCTAGAAAAAAAAAACTAATTAATCACAGAATATAACCATTCATACAAAATGCAACATTAATAGCATATAAACAAGACAAAAAACATTACAACCAACACTACCCATGCAAGTCGTACTCGTTGATTATAAAAGGGAGTTAAAAATAAATATTAATATTTCTACATTCTTCTCAAGGTTACTCTAACTGCCTGTGATATAATCTTAGAACAAAGACGGTCATGTTGTTTTTCATTAGCATATATAACCAACACCCCTGGTGAGCGATCAAGTTACTAGTAACCTGCATACAGTATTCCACTGTTGCGTGATCGAAAATCTGTCCAAGTTTCGGCAATTTACAATTATGAATATCACAGTACTGATTGTATGGCAAATCTATAGTGAGTACTGTAAAGTGCTTTATTTTCACTTGAAATTTAATATTCAATTAATCATGGAGGTAAAAAATAGATATATGTTTTAGCTCCATGGATTAATGGATGAATCAGTGAAAAATGAATCTAGTGAAATACCTTTCTTTTCTATATTTTACATTCCACTCATAAACAATCAAGGAACTTTATACAAAACAAAACTATTCCATTTATTAAGTACTGTACAGTACTTAAACATTGGTCAAGATTTCATTGAAAATTCAGTTACTAGTAGATCCGAAGTAAGAGGAGAAAAATGAAAGAAAAATCGCCTGTGAATAAACTCTTGTCAGTCACTGTTATGTAACTGCTGTGCATCTCTTGTTATCTTAGCCTGACATGTAGGCGTGTGTGGCGCCTTCGCCGGCCGAACGGCCTGTGTTGGGTTTGGAGTACCGCGGAGGGCGCAACTCACGCGACCTTGTCAGGCTATTGTTATTCCTATATACACAGTTATATCAGACAGCCAGTTAGCACTCTGAATTTAGATAGCCTCAACTTTGTAACTTTGCCCAAGCGGCTCGAATATTAGATCTAAACTAATCGTCCGATCTTGTGAATCTTACTGTCTGTTAGCAATCCCTAAAAATTACTGCGGACCAACGAAATATATAAGCAATTTAAAACAATACCGTTATCGATGTGGTTGTTTGACGAAACGTGTGTAATATTGAGAACACTGTACGTCGGACGACGAACAACGTGTACCAATATATATATATATATTCGATATAATTCGACGATGAATTATATTTTCATTTGAGATTGATTTTTTTAATCAAAATAAGACGATATGTTCGAGATAATTCTTATTGCACCCTGAACTTTCACACTATGTGTACAACTTTAATAGAGGTTTTGCAGATGCTAGATCAGTCCAAATCTTTCTCGGATACTGCTCATCCGAATATTATACATTTTCACTAGTTAGCCACGTGCATCCATGGGAGTAGTTTTATTATGAAAATGCACACTGACAAACGCTGATATTGTTTAAATGTCCATTCTAGGTATGTTGATGCGAAGTGGAAGTATTGGTTTTGGTACAGTGATTGGTTCCGCTGCCTTCAATTTATTGCTCATACCTGGCATTGTCGGCTTAATCACGGTAAGGTGTCACCTTATATAATTTGACCTTGTCTTCGTCTTTATGTCAAAGTCCTTTTATCACGCGATAGAGGGACTATGCTAACGCACGCACTCGTGTCATGCAAAGATGACTAGTCTATTCTTGTGCATTGAAATAGGCAACAACCAATATGTTGAATTTCAGTATCCTAGCAACCAAACAATATAAGTGTATGTACGTGTCTGAGCAACAAGATGCTGAATTGTCCCAGTTAATAAAAACATTTGATAGAGATGATAAATTATGGACATCGAGTTACAAAAATGACCACACCCATATTTTAGAGA